CTCACGATCGAGGGGAAATCGCGATGGAGGCGATTCTAGTTCGCGACCAAAGGACCACTTCGCACAGAGTTCTCGAACATCGAGCATCGCCGAATAAACCGATGGGGGCCGATTGCCCCGGCGTCGGGGCTACCGATACCAAATGGTACAAAAGAGTTCTGGATAAGAGCTTCCTATACGAAGCTGCGATTAGTCCGACGATAGAGAGAAACGATCGGAACGAGAGACGCTTATCCCGTGATTCCGCGTGTCCTGTACCTGCTTTTTACGACGATCGAGGGATACGATCGAGACGCAACCCATCGTCAGACGTCACCGCGACCACGTGGCTCAGTAAGTCAAACTTACTCCACTACACCCGACGAATACGTTTCGTATTTCGCCGCGCGCGCTCTTTATCCATTTCTCTCACGTTTTTTCTATTTCTTATTTTTTATTTTTTTACTTTTTTTTTTTTCACGCTTCTCATCCTCTCAGTTTGCCGATGATTCGTTCGTTCTTCCTCCCCGAGATAACGAGAAAATTTTTAATAATTCGATAAGTTGGGGATTCCTATTTGCTCTTCTCGTTTATTGGCGCGCGATCGCGAAACGCGATGTTGAGCGACGTTCGTTCCTCAACGAGTAAGAGGAATGCGAGAGAAGAGTGAAAGAAGGTTTGTAAAAATACGATAATTTTGACGGAAAGGAATGAGCAATTCCTGTTTGATCGCGAAATCTCTCGTTTTATAAAATTTAATACAGTTAATTGATTAGAGAAAGAAAGAAAGAAGGAAGGAAAGAAAAATTTGAATATATCTCTCAATTGTTAAGAGATAATCGTAACGTTACGTTCGTACAGATTATTATTTTATCTTGACCGTTGTCGACGTAAAAGTTGCATCCTCTTTCCTGTCGCAACGTGTTCTCTGAATTGATACACATGCAGATACGGCCCGTATAAGATTCGCGCGCGCTACATTGTTAACTACATTTGCATATTTATATATTCCTTCGAGTCGTTCTTACGGTTTTCTCGCAGCGATCGATATCGATCGATCGATTCCGCTTAACCGCTTCGCTTCTCGATCGCGCCTCCTTATTACGACTAATATCAAGGTGAAAACTTAATTGGCCACGATCGTAACATTAGAAATCGCACGGTCATCGTCGAAGCAACCCGATTAATAAGTCCGATTGTGACTCGTCGGAGGAGGTTTCCTATCGAAACCCTTACTCGGGTTTGGTTTCGATTGAATTTGAACGCGCTCGCTGACACGAGCCTCCGTCAAGCAACGAGACTTATCGAAATATCGTGATGAAGAATAAGTCGTGCAAGTGTCATTCATTAACGCTTTAACGTTTTCTCTGTTCGTTGGCTGCGTACGGTACGCATCAACCCACACCTGACGCTGACTCAGAGCAAAATCAATACTTTCTTACGTAATGATAGTACAGCATCTTTCCCTGACTCTCCGTATTCTTCTTCTTCCTTCGCTTTTACTTTTGTTTCTCGTCGAACGATCGAGCGGACGGAAAACGGAAAACGTCTGGAATTCGATGCAACCCGCTCTTTTCCCTCCCTCTCTCTCTCTCTCTTCGATTCATCGTGTAAATCGGCGGAGCAAAAGACCGAGATCTACGGTCGAGATCGGTTATTGCGACGAGTTTCGATTTTCTTCTCGCTCGAACGTTCTCAGCGCGATTAACACGTCTGGAATTTCACTTTTTCAGACGGAGCGTCGTAAAAAAAAAAAAGAGAGAAAAAAAGAAACGAAAGATAATCCACGCGTTTCGATTTAACGTGGCAGTTCGCCTCGTAAACGTGCCTCGCATTTTTCTTTTTCTTCTTTCTTTCCTTTTCGATTCTTACTCCTCCTCCTCCTCGATTCGACGTCACTTTTCAACGTGTCGATGAACGCGTTAGTCATTCATTCTCCTCGTAACGAAGGAGATCCTCCTTATCTATTCCTCCTCCTCCTCCTCCTCCTCCTTCGAAATTGATCCGCTTGCGCGCAAAAAAGTAAACGTCGAAAACGTGTCGAAAACGTATCACGTCCCCTCCCCTTACGATGCTCGAGGATCGTAAACAAGTAAACGGTTGGCCGAGGACACGCGCGCGATACGAAATCGGTGGGAAAAAAAATGTGGCGAGTCGGATTGGAAGAGCGGCATGCGCGCTCGACACACCCACCTGTTGAGTCTGCTCGGGGGAGTCTGGCGA